TCCCCAGACTCCCGCCCTTCTCCTCCAGGAGGCCCTGAGCCAGGACAACTTTGACATAATTTTGCAATAATTATCACTTGAAGAATTGCCACACAGGGGTAAGCATCGCAAGTGATCACGTCAGTGGGGAGAAGTGCTGACCAGCAGCTAGGCCTCCCTGGAGGCCCTGGCCCACCCAGCAACATCCCTGCCTGGGGGAACTGGTACTGTGCAGCCCAAGCCCCTCTGAGCCCATCTTCCTCTCCCTCCTCTCCCCTGCAGGAAGCGGGCAGCAGGCCACCCCTACCAGGTTCCCCCTGGCCCAGGTGAAGCAGGAGCCCTGTGGCGAAAGCGCCGGTGCCCCAGGCCCACACGAGGCTGCCCACAACCGCAGTCTTGACCTGACTGTGAAGGAGCCCAGGTGAGGCGAGGCCAGCCCGGGCCCCAGGGGAGGCCATGGCCACACCTCAGAGCTAGCCCCGGGGTCTGGGCTGGGCTGGGCTGGACTCACCTTCCCATCGGGCAGGGGCAGCAGGCAGGGCTGGAGCCCTGGTCTGGCCGGGAAGGCCGTACCACTGGACTCGGTACCCCAATGTCTGAGCCGAAGCCCCTTGGTTTGTGTGTTCTAGTAATGAATCAAATGGCCACGCAGTCCCGGCAAATTCATCTCTTTTATCCTCGCTTATGAATAAGGTAAGAACCATCCATCACACGCCTTCCGTTCCCCCACCCAGAGAAATTAAAGCTGTGCTGGGGGGTGGGGGGATGTGTTTGTTTTTTAATGTTTTCCCTCTAATAAGATGAGTTTGTACCATTTAAATTTTGAGGCCATTTTTCATCGAATATAATTTCAGAGCCACTGCTTACAAATTAATTTAATGAACTGGCTGAAGAAATATATTCCAGCCTCTGACACCATTTTTTTTTTTTTTCCCTTCAGATGGAGGGCTCCAAAAGCTTTTCTGGAGCCCTCTAACTTCTCTCACCCTTAGTTATTAATGTTATTTATTTATTTTATATCTATTTTTGTTTGTTTAAAAAGGGGCGGGGGGAGACTAAAGTGAGAGCAAAGCATCAATTTCCACTTTTCGGCTTGAGTAATGGTCTCGGACGCCTTCCGGAGAGGTCGCTCTGGAATATTTATTTTAAATAATGCAGGGTCTTTGTAAATTATACATCATCTCAAATATATTTTTCCCCTTCACACGATGAATTTGACTGCAGCAAGATTAATTTGGTTACTGTACACAAGTGACTGGGTTGAAGAGGGAGTGGGCCTGGGCTGGCCTTGTGGGTGGGTCCTGGCTGGGCACACAGGCATGGGCTCCTGCGGCCGGGCCCTGCCACCTGTCCTCCTTTCCCGCATGCCCTCCGTCTCCTTGGCTGTCCTCAGGACGCTGCCTCCTGCTCCCTCGCTCCTCCCAGGGCACCTCTCCTCCCATCTCTCCCCAGCCTGCCTTGCTCTCCCCCATTAGCCTCTCTCTCCCTCCCTCCCTGCTCCTCCTTTGTGTGCTTTCTCTTGTTCTCAAGGAACTCATAGGGGTTCCCCCCATCCCTCCTCCTCCTGCACTTCTTTTGAAAACCTTCTGGCAGGAAAATAACCAGGGAGCAGCAAAGTCTGGGGGAAGACGGGCTGCTATGTGCACTGGGAGTGGCAGCCTCAGCTTGAATGATGGCTCCCACAGCATGGGCTTGTGAGGAGAGAGACCCAGTCCTGCCTCTCCCAGAGTCTTCAGACAGGGCTCTTCTCTAGCCAGAGCTGTGCTTGGGCGGGTCTGTCTAAGGGTCACACGGCCCCAAGCTCAGTCTCTGTCCTCTTAGATGTCTCAGGGCAACGCTGGCCTCGGCGGCCTGCTGAACATCAAGGCAGAAGTAGAGGGGAGCCCTGCCGTGGAGCCCTCGCCCTTCCTGGGCAAGGCTGTGAAGGCGCTTGTCCAGGAGAAGCTGTCGGAGCCCTGGAAGGTGTACCTTCGCAGGTGAGGCCTGCGGATCACAGTGGGGAGGGCAGGGTCCCTGGTGGCCACGCCAGCCCCACCTCTGAGACCCTACCCTAACCTTCTGGCTGCTCCCACCAGGTTTGGCACCAAGGACTTCTGTGACGCCCAGTGTGACTTCCTCCACAAAGCCCACTTCCACTGCGTGGTGGAGGAGTGTGGGGCGCTATTCAGCACCCTGGATGGGGCCATCAAGCACGCAAAGTGAGTGGGGGCCCCCAGAGTCCCAGAGCCCTAAATAGAACCCCAGGGGGGCCGGCTTCCCTTCCTTCTGCCGTGTGCCCAGCCCTTACCCAGACCCCACCTCGAGGCCCTGAGTGCCAGCTGGGGTGGTGCCAGGACCAGGTGGGGCCCGCACCTGGCCACAGATGGCCCTGAAGAGTGACTAGAAGAGCCCAGAGCCTAGGCAGAGAGGCTCAGCTCAGACCCAGGGCAGGTCAAGGCCTTTCCAGCCACACGTAGATTCCCTTGACCTAAAATACTGAGATGAATGTGTAAATCTTGTGGGGTTAGAAAGCGAGTCCAACCACGGGTTGTAACTGGACTCAGACCTTCACAGGTATAAAATGTGTACAACAGGTGTCCCCAGCTCCTGGTCCGCACAAGAGCCTGCTGAGTACTGAGGGTCCCACACGTGAACCCCAGTGCAGCTTCTGTAGGAAGGGGCATCACACACACACACACACACACACACACACACACACACACAGTGTAGATGTTCAGGACACAGAGAGCTCACAAGAAGGAAGATAGAGAGTTAGGGTCAAACAGCCCAGCTGCAGAACTGAGGACACAGCCATTTGTCCTCAAACCCTGTCCTGATGGGATCATGGGAGACGTCCGGAGCCCGTGCTCAGGATGGATAGGGATGCTGGGCCCCTGGGCTTGTGACAGGGTCACATGTGGCACTCCTCCCGAGGCGTGTGCAGCCAGGGAAGGGTCGACCCCCTAGCGGGTCCTCAGCTACCCACCTGAGATGCCCTTTTTCTGCCTCTCCAGCTTCCACTTCCGGACAGAGGGAGGAACAGCAAAAGGAAACACAGAGGCTTCCTTCCCGGCCTCTGCTGCTGAGACCAAACCTCCCCTGGCACCTTCATCCCCTCCGGCACCCCTTGGCACCACAGTCCCAGGGTCATCTCTGGAGGGGCCCACTCCCAACCCAGCCTCGGTGCCCTCCACCCCCACCCTGCTCGCCTGGAAGCAGCTGGCTTCCACCATACCCCAGATGCCTCAGATGCCCGCATCAGTGCCTCACCTGCCTGCTTCACCCTTGGCGACGACTTCTCTAGAGAATGCCAAGCCCCAGGTCAAACCCGGATTCCTCCAGTTCCAGGAGAAGTGAGTCCCTCGATGAGCCGGGCACCCCGTCCCTGTGTGTCTCGGGAGTGGGTGTAGAAAGGGTAGCGAGAAGGCCCTGCTCCTCACCCTGCTGTTAGCACTGGCTGTCCCCAGCCTTCGGGACATGGCCACTGGGCTACGTCCTTATAGCCAAAGATGCTGCCGCTGCCTGTGCCTCACTTCCTGATCCTGAGCAGCCAGCAGGTGGGGATGGTGGTGGTGGTGGTGGTGGTGGCGGCCACTGCTCCAGTGGGACCAGGGCTGTGGAGATCCCACAAGGCCCAGCTGGGGTGGGCCGAGAGTGGTTTCCTGGCCCAGCAGCGGGGCCGCATCTCCTTCCAGTCACCCTTGCTGGGCTTCTCTGGGGCTTACAACCGGGCTGAGTCTGCAGGGCATGAAAGCCAAGGGGGGCGCCAAGGGGAATAGTCCCCTCCAGGCCTGCACCCACCCGCACAGGGGTTTGGAAGGGATCTTCCTCACTGAACGGTGGTGGCTCCTTGTGGCGAGAACGGTGACTTTGTATCATAATGTGTGCGGCTTCCTGTTCTCAATAAAAGTAATAAATTGTATTATTTATACCACCTGAGTGGCAGTGTCCTCCCTCTCTGAGCACTGCGACTGGGCCCATGGTATGGAAGGGGACCACAGTGCCTCTCTGTCCCTTTTTGCTTCCCTTCCCTAAAATGGCAGCCCTTTTAGCTTTCTGGGCCTGGGCAGAGTTCCCACCATGGGTCTCCTTTTTGGGGACTGCAATGTTGACAACTAGGACAGAAGGCTGGAGCCCCGTGTCCTCCCACGGCCCTCTGCAGCTCATGGGCCCTGCCAGCCTTTTGAGCAGGCCCAGCACTTCCCCATGCACCTGCCACCAGCCCCTGCCACCCCCTGGCTCCTGGGTTGTCCGAGTGGGTGGGTGCCACAGGCCTCAGAGGACCCGGGGAGCACCAGCAGCTGTGCGCCTCAGCGGGACCTGACATCAGGCACACGACGTTCCTTCTTGCTGAGGTCCCACAGTGGCAGTGCTTCCTGGTAGGGCTGCCCACCCATCTGCAGTCTGTCAGCCACATCCAAAACAGTGCTGTGCCATGCCAGCTAGGCCCTCACTGGCATCCTGCCAGGGCTGGCAGCACCATCCCTTATTTTCATATCCAAGAAGTTATTGCAGCCACTCTTATCTATAATCTCGAGGTGTGGCCGTGGAAACTACATGTCCCAGCATGCAATGCTCTGGGCACCCTGCACATTGCAATCCCTATGCACCAGGCAGAGTGCCTAAAAGGAGGCAGGGATGCATGCTGGGATCTGTAGTCTCTGGTTGAATAGGCCTGTTGAGCAGGAGACCTAGCCCAGGGTCATTCCTCTTGATTGTACCACTGGTGACTGAAGAATGAACCTCAACACAGGCAAAATCGGGACACTAGTAGGGAGGACTTAGAAATGCCAGTGACCTTCTGGGCTATGGTTTCCTTCCAGTGATCCTTGCCTCGCGACCGACTGCAAGTACGCCAACAAGTTCCACTTCCACTGTCTCTTTGGGAACTGCAAGTATGTCTGCAAGACCTCTGGCAAGGCGGAATCCCACTGCCTGGACCACATCAACCCCAACAACAGCCTGGTGAATGTGCGAGACCAGTTCGCTTACTATTCCCTACAGTGTCTCTGTCCCAACCAGGTCAGTGTGACGGGCAGAGGGTGGCAGAGCAGGGGAGGCACAGGGCCCAGCACAGGCTCCTCCTGGCAGAGACTCTGCTTTTCACACCTTTCTTAAGTTAGTTTCTACCTGACTCTGGAAAGGACACTGTCTGCCCCTGGGCCCCTGGAGGCCCCTAGGCAGGGGACCAGATTGGGGATAAGTTGTTGAGGTCTGTCATTTCAGTCTAAACCCCTAGTAGAGACTAAATGCTATGCAGCCACTGGGCACATGCCATCCTTCCTTCTCATCCTGGTGTTAGCTATGTCCCCTTTTCCCAGAGGCCTAAAAATTTAAAATAGGCCCACAAATAGATAAAGGGATAGAATTGTCCATGCCCAGACAGGAAAGACAAGTTTGAAAGGCCCACCCCCAGGACTGGCAGAGGCTCTACCTGAGGAGTTGGGGTAAAAGTCTTGAGTGTGCAGAAAAGATTGCCAGGATACATTAGTGATGTCTGCCACATGCAGGGAAGACTGCTAGGATGGATTAGTGATGTCTGCCTAAATCTGAGACTATAGAGGAGTGCTAGAGTGGATTGGTGATGTCTGTCTAGGTCTGCTCATATAGAGAAGAGGGCTAGGATGGATTGATTAGTGATGTCTGCCTAGGTCTGGGCATACTGGGAGGAGTGCTAAAATAGATCAGTGATGTCTGCTCTGGGTGTGAGGTTAGTGAGGGATTATAAGGTTACTAGTAGGATATTTTAGTGAAATGACAAAGGGGACATACTGCCTTTTAACATGTGAAAGGTCTCTATACAATTGTGTTTTCTTATTCTGAGTTTGGAAGAACACAGTACAAAAGGCCTGCCACAGACCAGAGGCCTGAGATGGCAGAAGTCACTGCCTGTCCTGAGCCTCCTTGTGTTTCCCTACAGCACTGTGAATTCCGGATGCGTGGGCACTACCACTGCCTCCGGACTGGCTGCTACTTTGTGACCAACATCACCACCAAGCTGCCGTGGCACATAAAGAAGCATGAGAAGGCTGAGCGGCGGGCGGCTAATGGATTCAAATACTTCACTAAGCGGGAGGAGTGTGGCAGGCTAGGTACTTATAGCCAGGGCTGGGGCAGGGACTTCTCTCAGGTGGCAGGACCGTGGCTTTGATTCCTGGGGCCACCTCTCCTGGAACCTGTGTTTTCCCCTTTCTGGTACCATGTTTTGTTAAAGATGTCACAGAAGCCATAGACTCACAAAATGTTAAAGCCCAAATAGCCCAGGAAAAACTGCCAGAAAAGAAAAGAAACAAACCTTTCCTGCAAGTATTTATTCAGAAAGGATCCATGGCCTGGAGAGGGCCGGTAACCGTGGCAACAGATGTCAATACTCGGTGGCCTATGCTGTTCTGGGTCTCAGTTACAGGTGTCAGGGTATTTTGTAGTTGCCATTATTTACTCAACTTTGGGTGTTTTTGGTGGTAGCTGAGGCCAAACAAAGCTGGGGGATGATATAAGACACCTGGCCAGCCTGGCACCATGGCAACGGGCAGGCCTTCACCTGCCCTTAGCTGAGGCTGTTTCAGTCCCGCCTGCTCTATTTGTTCTCAGGCCAGAGCACAGCAGAGGTGGGTGGGGACAGGGTGGAGGCCAGCCAAGGCCACAGCCAAGGTCGGGGGCACAGATACCACCCCAGGTGCCCAGAAGACATGTGGAGACAGGCGGCTTGCAGGAAGACCCACGAGGGTCTCGCCCTGGAGCGTGGGCCTCCTAGGGTGTGAGGCAGGGGTGAGGCCTGCTTGCCACACTTCCGTGCCAGGCCTGGGGGAGTCTGGGGATGGGCAGCCTTGGGCTTCCTGGGAGAAAGCAGATGCAAGCCTTCCCTGTAGAAATGCACCTGCCTTGCTGGCCACGCTTCCCCTGTGCCCACAACAGGGCTGACCCACACCGGGGGCACGAGCATTGCCCGCCGGGAGCTCACGCGGGGGGCCGTGTCCGCAGGCTGCAAGTACAACCAGGTGAACAGCCACTTCCACTGCATCCGGGAGGGCTGCCAGTTCTCCTTCCTCCTCAAGCACCAGATGACCTCTCACGCCCGGAAGCACATGCGGAGGATGCTGGGGAAGAACTTCGACCGAGTACCCGCCTCCCAGGTGAACGCCCAGGGCCTCCCGCGGGGCACGCCCGGGTAACCCTTGCTTCCAGGTGGAGGCCCACACTGCCCACGTGACCACCAGAGCCCTGTGGCCAACTTCCTTAGGGACCCTGCTTCCTTTCAGGGCCCCCCAAGCCTGATGGACGTCGAGACAGACGAGGGCATGGATTACACCGGCTGCAGCCCCGGTGCCGCCTCCTCCGAGTCATCCACCATGGATCGGAGCTGCTCCAGCACCCCGGTGGGCAATGAGAGCACTGCGGCAGGTGAGCGCGGGCCGGGCCGACCCCAGGCCAGCTCTGCCGTGCACACTCCGCCCTGGCCGCAGTCGCAGGAGAGGAAGCCCAGGCCCTCCCCCCCAGCCCAGCCATCGGCAGGCCGGCCTGGCACACCAGGTTGCCCACCGGCGGAGCCTCTCTCCCCTCTGTGTCGCACCTCTCTCTGCGCATCTGTCCACATATTTTCGTATCATACTTGCTTCTGCCATCGGGTTTCTCATTTTGGTTCTTTTTGTTTTTTCTTTGTTTTGGTCTTTTTGTTTTGTTTTGTCTTCTGCTTTTCTCCACCTCTCCAGGCTGCCCGGCTCCTCCTCCTCTTCCTCTTCCTCCTCCTGCTGCTGCTGGTGACGAGGCTGCCCGCGGGGCTCTGCAGCCCCCCCTGGCTCCATCCTTCCCACCGGCCGTGCTGCGGCCGCCCCTCCCTCCCCTCCCATGCCTCTTCTCTCCGTCCTGTCTCTCATACTCTCTGCTCAGTGCCAACCTCGGAGCCAGCCGGGGCCTGGCCCACCCCATCAGCAGCCCGCCCAGCTTCCCGCCTGTCACTGCCACTCCAACTCCAGTAAAAAGTGACGTCCCCCTAGTTCAGGATGCTGCAGGTAACTCCCACACGCCTTCTCCGGTGTCTGTCTCCCCAAGTGATCCTCCGGGTCATAGTCTAGGACCCGGCCCTTCTCTGTGGCCAGCTGAACCAAGGCCAGGGCCACTCTGCACCACTGACAGCCAGGCCCCCCTCCCAAGAACAGCTTCTTGCGCCTCTGGCTCATTCCACCGGGGATTTGCCTCTTCTCACCACGGTCAGGACCCCGAGTGCCATGCCATTCTCCTGCTCTACACCCCGTGGGTGCCACCCTCCTTGGCCCTGGGCAGGACAGAGTCTGTCCTTGCCACTCTCAGGGTTCACCTGGGACCTGCACAGGTTTGGGGGTCCTGAGCCCAGGCCCTTTGGGGTTGCCTGCTCCTGGCCCTTGGGTAGAGATGACACTCCATCACTCTCCGTCCACTCTCTTCTGCCCCGCGTCTGCCTGGGCACACTCCGTGCAGGCACCAGAGGATGGCAGTGAGCAGGACATGTTGAAAACTCCATTGCTGGCATGACTGAAAATGCCCTTCAGCCCGAGACCACAGCCCATCAGTGCTTTGTGGCTTTCAGGCCTGAGCCCTCCCACACCCCAGCCCATCCTTCTCCCTGCTTTCTCTCCATCTGCCAAGGCCAGGCGACCAGGCCTGTCCCACACATGGGCAATGGTGGCTGGGTGTTCTAGGCAGGCCAGGCAGGGCCGTGCCAGTCCCCACCCTGGGTGAGGCTGGGCCTGGGGCTTCTGGAGTTTCCAGGCAGTGCCAGAGCCAGGGGCCTCGTCCTGCAGCCAGCAGGAGCTGTAGGGCTGCAGGTGTCTCCCAGAAACAGGGTAAAGGAGTCGCTGGCCATGGGCCCCTGTATCTTGGGACTCAGCCTGGCACCAGGGTGGGCACTCATGAGGGAGGGCGGGGGCATCTTCTTGGTGCTTAGCTCCCGAGGCCTGGCCCATCAGGCCGACTGGGGGCAGAAAACGCCAGTGGGACCTCAAGGAACTTCTGGTATAGCAAGCTTGGTGGCACAAGCCTATAATTCCAGCACTCTGGGAGGCTGAGGTAGGAGAATCATTAAGTTCAGGCCCAGCCTGGACCCCTCAGTGACTCGATGAGACCCTATCTCAAAATAAAAAAAAAGGGATGAATGTAATCATTATGTACTGTAAACATGTACTAATGAAATATGTACTAATTAACTAAAAGTTAAAAGAATAAAAGGGCTAGGGATTTAGCTCAGCACAAAGGCCCTGAGTTCAATCCCCTGTATTAGAAACAAACAGAAAAACCTGGTGCAAGGAGCCTTGGGCCCAGGGTCTTGGCCACACTGCAGGCAGGTCCCATGCAGACTGGAGGGCTGGGGGGAGCCAAGGTCCCCAAGAGGCCCGTGCCATGGGCATCCTGGCCGCAGTCCAACCTGGGGAATTACCCTGCAGCCCAGATTCCTCCTCAGCTTCCACTGTCACCCGGACTGTCCTTGGTCCACACCCTCACTGCCACGAAGCAGCACCGCCTCCCTGCAGGCCTGGTCCGTGCACCTAGAGGATGGGCTGCCTGGGACTCCCAGGCCCCCACCCGGGATTGGGCCCACGTGGGTGTTGCCCCAGGCATGGTGCCAAAGGCATCCCTTCTGCGCTGACCTCCCGTGACCTTCCCCAGGGAACACCATCTCCATGCCCACCGCCTCGGGGGCCAAAAAGCGCTTCTGGATCATCGAGGACATGTCGCCCTTCGGCAAACGGCGGAAGACAGCCTCCTCGCGCAAGATGCTGGACGAGGGCATGATGCTGGATGGCTTCCGGCGCTTCGATCTCTATGAGGACTGCAAGGACGCGGCCTGCCAGTTCTCGCTCAAGGTCACCCACTACCACTGCACGCGGGAGAACTGCGGCTACAAGTTCTGCGGGCGCACGCACATGTACAAGCACGCGCAGCACCACGACCGCGTGGACAACCTGGTGCTGGACGACTTCAAGCGCTTCAAGGCCTCGCTCAGCTGCCACTTCGCCGACTGCCCGTTCTCGGGCACCAGCACGCACTTCCACTGCCTGCGCTGCCGCTTCCGCTGCACCGACAGCACCAAGGTCACGGCGCACCGTAAGCACCACGGCAAGCAGGACGTGATCAGCGCAGCGGGCTTCTGCCAGTTCAGCTCGAGCGCCGACTGCGCCGTGGCCGACTGCAAGTACAAGCTCAAGTGCTCGCACTTCCACTGCACCTACCCGGGCTGCCGCCACACGGTGGTGGGCATGTCGCAGATGGACTCCCACAAGCGCAAGCACGAGAAGCAGGAGCGCGGGGAGCCCCCCGCCGCCTCGCCCTCGCCCTC